GTCTGTACAAACGAAACATGTTATAAACTTTGATAAGAAAATCGCAAGAGCACAAACATAATATATAGCTCGTTTACTAAATAAAAGTAGGATACACATCAGCCAAGATAAGCCCCAAGCCAGGGGTTCCATTACTAACATTACCACCTAAACATGAAATGAAAACCAAGTAATCTTAATTGAGCTGATAAATAATTTATGCTTAAATTTATTAATTTTGTATTCAATATTTAAATAACCATTATAAATATTACGCTCTTAAATAAAAAATTAACTTTGAACATAGTTTAGATACTTATTTTTGTATTAAGGGTCTGTTTGTTTGGCTGTAATTGGTTTTCCGAAAAATGAATTACTGGAATTTGAATTACTGGAACTGAAAAATGAATTACTGGAATTTGAATTCTAGAAAATGAATTACATTTCTGGAAAACGTTTTCCGGAAAATATTTTCCGTAAAATGAATTACATTTTTCTGAAAAACATCTGAAAAATGTTTTATGATGTTTGGAAGATGCTATTTAAACATTTTTCCACTAGTTGAAGAATTTTTTAAAAATTATTTATTACAAATATTAAATATAATAAATAATATTCTTTATCATAAAACTTAATATTATTATTTTAAAATATTAAAATAATTTATTTATTATTACATATTATTTTTTAATTTTATTAATAAAAATAATATTTTTTTGTATATTTTAGTGAAATAAAATATTATAAATTATATTAATTATTTATTAAAGTAATAGTGTTATATTATATTTTAAAAATATTAATTAATATATTTTAAATATCTTTATTAAAATATTATTTAAATATAGAAATAATATTATTAATTATTAAATATATAAAAATATTTATTATATTATTAAAATAAAAATATAATATCTTATATTATTATAATATAATTGATTATTTTATATAATATTAAAAATACAATATTATATTATTATAAATATTAATAAATAAATAAATAATGTTTGATGAAAATTATATTAAAATATTTTATTAATATTAAATTCATAAAATAAAATTATTTTGAGTATTTATTCTTTGAAGTGAAAAGTTCGGAAAATAACTTACGGAAAATGAATCCGTAATTCATTTTACAGAAAACACAAAGAAAGTTCTGTTACTAGGAAAATGAATTACATTCCGGAAAACCAATTACGTGAAACAAACACGGGAAAATATTTTCCGAAAAACGTATTTCGTGAAACAAACACGGGAATTTAGGAAAAACCAATTCCGTAATTCTAATTACGACAAACAAACACACCCTAAGTAAAAGAATATGATGTATATTGTGATATTTTGAGCGGTGCTACTAACGATGAATTAAAAAGATTTTTTCTTCCCCAATTAATCGGAGTACAATATGTTAGTATTTACATGAGCCAACTTACTTCCATAGTTAAAACAAACGTTATTATTTTTAGAAATCACAGATTCAAACACTCACAACTGTAGTGAGATAGAATTGTGAAAAGTCTTACATTATCTTAGATTACTTAAGAAGCTATAACGAGACTATCGTCAACTCTTGACGCAATTAATAATACGATTATTGTATTATCGGTTTAAAGTAATGTATTTCCATGGACCCCATTTCAGGATTATTTCTATTTTTTAAAAGAATTTTCCCGAATAATTTAATCATAAACCCTATTGAACAAGAAATAATGAAAAGAGCATATGACCAAGTTTTCTAATAAAATAATTCAACCAACGTACCATATTATTATTTTCATTATTCTATAAGGAAAATAAAATGGGGAAGTAAGAGAAATTGTAAAAAGAAATAAAACTTATTCTCTCCCAAAAAAATTATAATTATAGTTTGGTGTAAGTACATTGAGGCCATGCCTAACACAAACAAGGTCGAAGGTGCCCTAGACTTCACATTTTAGTACTCTCCTTGTACCATTAAATCTGTTCACTGTTAATTTTTTAGCGATTTTTTTTAAACTTTGGATCTTTATTTTTCTAAAATTTATTATTGATAAGTATGAAAAGATATATTTTAAAAACCTTAAATCAAGTATTTTTCAAATATATTTTTTAAAAAATTTATTTATTTAAAATATTTAAAATAATCATGGTCAAAATTTAAAATTTTTAATTTTTTAAAAGTTAATATGGATACATTTAGTGTGACAGCGGGAGTTTTAACTGGATTTATTAAATGATTTTAATAATTAAAAATATTATTTTTATAGGTTTTTAGTTTAAGTTGTGCTATTGTCAACAATTAAAAAAGATTTTGATCATATACTATCTTGTAATCACCTCAAATTAATAAAAAATAGTACCTTCTAATTTTTACTTCTCGACACCAACTAATTGGAAGAATAATATTTTATTATCAATTTTAATTTTTTATAGAAAGTTGCTAGTTTTATTAATAATAGAAAATATCTAAAATTACAAAAAGATTTACGAGCATAACCGTAAACGTAAACTAAATTCTAACTATGACTTTTTCCTACAACCATTGACACAAAAACTAGCCACCTAGATCGCAGAAGGACCATAAAAGGAAAATATTAAAAAACCTAACCAATGCTCGAACAAAATAAAGATACAAACAAATTTGATTGTATCGGCAAACAAACTACAAAAGGAGATGAAACTTCTGAAAGACCATCGACAAATCGCAAATCAGAGTCAAGCGACATGAGAAAACTATCCACGAGCGCAAAACGCGTATCCAAATCAACCCGAGGGTCCAAACCAAAGATGATAAACATAATAACAGATAAGTGTCATATTGATCAGTCATGACAATTTCAAATTTAACTCTGAGAAAAAATATAAACAAAAACAACGATAAAAAATCGTAAGCTACTAGAAGGTAGAAAAAAATGTGTCACAAAGCCATAGATAAACGTGCTATAAAAGCAAAGAACATGTCACAAAGACGTAATTATTTTTATTAAAAAATTAAAAAAATAAAGAAAAAAGATAACCGACGGGTGGTAACCAGCATCAAAATTAAAGAGAAAAAAGTTGGATCGATCAATAAAATTGACACAAGTTGTAAATAAGAAGGAAAAAAAGGGGAAAGAGAGATGAGAAAAAAAGTTAAAATAACTTTTTAACTATTGATTTTAAATTTTTAATAGTATGGAGTAATTACAAGATGATATTTGTTCATAATTTTTCGTAATTTTATATATAAGGAATGTAGACACTAGGTAACATTCTCTTACCACTTAGACTATTCAATAATTTTGTTTTAATTTTTTTATTAATCTAATGTGCTTACAAGTAGTAGTATCTATTCTTAAGACTCTCAATCATTTTAAATCAACGCTCAAATACCTTACGATTTCTGATGCTCGAACCTAAGACCGCTAAGAATAACAACTATTCTTTTAATTATTAATGTAACTTGGTTCGTAAAATTTTATTTTAATTTTATGTTACAATACAATTAATCAACTTTATATTATAAATGATAAATTATTTTTTAAATTTTCAAATAATCCCAAAGTAGGACAACATTTGTACAATACTTAAATGCTATACTAAGCGACATCTCATCTACCAAGAATAAGATTAGGGACCAGCATCAATTATATATGTAATAAATCATATTTTAGGACCAAAATTGAAAGGCAGCATGCATCATCACTAGGGATTTACTTGTTCTCAAATAAAAATTATTAAAAAAATTAAAACTTTGAAATTTGGGATTTTCTGAGATGTTGAAACAAGGCATGCCAATATAAATTTAATGGCTTTGCTTCTCACATATACCAACTGCAACAACCAAGTCATTTACCTAAACGTGCCACTTGGACCATATCATATATGATTCAAACATATTAAGTTTGGTAAGAATTAAATAATAATTGTATGATACATGCATGGCGGTGCCATAATTCATAATTATTCTAGAAATATATTGATTTCCAATTTTTTGAAAGAGAATTTTCAAATATTGTATGATTTGCAAACGATAGTCATAGTTATATATATTTACACGCTATTCCTACGTATAATTAACTAATAATTTTTGCGATTTTGAACGTGAAAAAGAAAGGTTTAGTCAGCTGGATTTGACGTCGTTTAGACTGATTAAGGTGATGTTTATTTGTTATCATTACAGTCTTCTCTGTTTTGGACATTCGGATTGAATTGGATTCACAATTTTTGCACTCACAGATAATATTCTCACGATGCTCGACTCTAATTTACGATTTGGGACCAAAATTTAAAATTTTAAATAAGACAAGAACCTTTTAACATATTTAAACCAAAATCATCCCATTGGTAGCATATGCAACCTTCTAAATCCTTGATTGGTTGGTATTTGTGTTGGCCTCATGAAAGCAAGTTTTCAGAAACCAATAAACACAGAAGTTTCAAGATAAGACATATTTTTCTGAAGGTTTCAATCAAGGACCTCTTTATTTCAATTTTTGCTTTAAAATGACACACGAAACATTTATACAATAAACAGATTTTAGAACATGGGGGCCAAGTTGTCAATAATTTAAACTCAAGGGCTTACGACGATAATCTGTAGCCACAACTCCCACGTCCCTAATAGATAGATATATAACGCGAGTTTCCAATTTAGACTTTTCTTCTAATTCGTAAGCAGCCATTATAACGTGATTATGACATTTTAAAGATTATGTCATTTTATATTTTATAGAATAAAAATACGAAATTTGATTCCGTAAGATTTATTGTTTAAAATAAGTATTTATTTATTAAAAAAAATAATTACTAATTAATCTTTAACTATTAGAATTATAATAAAATCTAACTTAATCGTGTATTAGAATTTAAGTCGATATTAAACATTTTTTACGAATACTAATTGAACTGACCAAAGATATTAATACTTTAAGGACTTAATAATATATTATAACGTTTTGAAATTTTGGACTTATTTGAAATACTGATCATAGTTAGAGGGTTTGTGATAGGATTATATTAATGGAGTCCTAATCCATAGGAACGTGTCTGGTTTGCAGACTTATAAAAAGATCTCTTTCCATTGACCGTCATGAAAGGTTTATCTAAGGTCTAACTGGTTTTCTGATAATCTCAGTTATCTGATATAAGCTTCAACGTCTTCAACATCCTTATTCTACTATGCTGCCGGCGAAGATCTTCAGCTGCCGGCTTGTTAATCAAGCCAAATCGCCGATTGCTTCGATAATCTTCTTTGCTGTTCTAATGGTTTTCATGTTGGCAGATACCATGATTTGGAACATATCACTGGAACCGGCTGCTTTCACTGATAAAGAAGATCCACATATTCTGAAAGTTGTACGAAAAACCAGTTCGAATGTTGTTGTTCCTCTACCATTGACCGTTTCTAGACGAAACAAGATCATTAAAGTCGATGAAGAACATTGGAGTTCTGTACCTTCTTCCTCGAGTGTTCGAAAAGAACACGGCGTCGGGAAATTCAGGCGAAAAGTAGCAGAGTACGGGATTTTCGAGTCCGATGACTTGACGAAGAAGTTCCATGGCCGAGTTCTGGGATACTTCAACAATGGATGTGAAGTTCACTTCTTCATGACATGGATTTCACCGGTCGAGTCCTTCGGGAGAAGGGAAACCATGGCTGTTGAAAGCGTTTTTAAATCCCACCCCAATGGTTGCTTGATGATTCTATCGAGAACCATGGACTCGGTCCGAGGTTATCAGATACTGAAACCGTTGATTGATCGTGGCTTCAAAGTCACGGCGGTGGCGCCGGACTTTCCGTTTCTGGTCAAGAACACACCGGCCGAAGCTTGGTTTAACGACATGAAGAGTGGTAAAAAAGACCCCGGTGGGATCCCATTGGCACAGAATCTCTCGAATTTGATCAGGCTCCTAGCGTTACACAAGTACGGAGGCGTTTACCTGGACACGGACTTCATCGTGTTAAAAAGCTTTAAAGGGCTGAAGAACACGATCGGAGCACAAAGCGTGGATGGCACGTCAAAGAACTGGACGAGATTGAACAATGCAGTGTTGGTGTTCGACATGAACCATCCACTTGTATTCAAGTTCATCGAGGAATTTGCTTTGACATTTGATGGGAACAAATGGGGACACAATGGACCATACATGGTTTCCAGGGTGGTCGGAAGAGTTGAAGGCCGTGCCGGTTATAACTTCTCGATCTTACCACCCATGGCATTTTACCCGGTCGATTGGATCAAAATCGGGAGCCTTTTCAAGGTCCCGAAAGACCGAGCAGGGTCGAGATGGGTCGAAGCTAAGGTGCAGCAGCTAAAAGAGAGAGCATATGGAGTTCATCTATGGAATAAACAGAGCAGCAAATTGAGGGTTGAAGAAGGAAGTGTAATGGGAAGATTAATGGCGGAACACTGTGTTTTGTGTAAAAATGTATACACTTCTTAAATTGTACATACTTTTGTGAATTAAATGTATATCAGTGACAAGTGATACTCCATTTTTGGTAATGTGAAAAGCACGAGCATGTCAATGTAATGAGATTAACTCCTCTGGCAAAATCATATAGTTTTCATCAGCCACTTTTCATGGTGAAAAACGTGCGACAATCGATCTATCATAATTGATTGAATGTATCAGAAATGGCCATTAAAGCTTTAACATGAACAGATATAAAATCAAACTATTACCATAATTATGTTTATCTACAACTCCACAACCATTGAAAAGCTCCGATTCGCAGCAGAGATGAGCAATTTGTTTCGGAAGATGACGGTGAGAAATCTGTTTCGAGTGCTATTCCTCCGAGTTCTGAAATCTCCGACCGTCTCGAACATATCAGTTTTGCTCATCATCTCAGTGGCAACCGTCTTCTTTATAGTCTATGAAAACATGGTGATCACTCATCGTTATATGTATCTTGAGGATATCACAGCAGAAGGAAAGGTGGACAGGGTTGATAGTGTATACAAGGATCCTCTAATTCCCCCATTCAATGGCACCAGGGAAGAAAGGATAGCTTGGTTCGAGAAGCAGCTTCCGAAATTGGAGTTGTTCAAATCGAGAAGCTCGAACTCGAAATTTCACGACCAAGTTTCGGGTTTTCGCGACAGTAACTGTAGAGTGCAGTACTTCATGGTATGGTTTTCACCAGCTCAATCATTCGGGGTAAGGGAATTCTCTGCTGTAGACAGCCTCTTCAAGGCAAGTCCTAAAGGTTGCTTGATGATTTTATCACCATCTCTTGATTCAAGACAAGGGGACCGGATTCTGAAACCACTAATCAACGGCGGGTTTAAAGTCCTTGCGGTGACACCGGATTTGCCTTTTTTATTGAAGAACACCCCAGCCGAGAGTTGGTTCAATGAGTTGAAGAGCGGTAGACAAGATCCGGGAAGCATTCCGCTGTCCTACAATCTTTCCAACTTGATCAGGCTAGCAATGCTATACAAGTATGGGGGGGTTTACTTGGATGTAGATTTCGTAATTCTCAAAGACTTCATCGGATTGCGGAACGCAATAGGTGCACAAAGCATAAGTACAATCACCAAGAAATGGACACGAATAAACGGTGCGGCTATGATCTTCGACGAGGGGCATCCGATTCTATACGACTTCTTGGAGGAATTCGCAGCAACCTACGATGGAAGTAAATGGGGACACAATGGACCATACCTTATTTCCAGAGTGATTCAAAGAGTTGAAAACAAACCTGGTTATAACTTCACAATCCTGCCACCTAAAACCTTCTATCCAATGGATTGGATCAAAATAGCCAGATATTTTAAGAAGCCCTGCACAGAATCAGAACAGAAATGGGTTGAATACATGTTGATCGAACTCGAAAGAAGCACTTACGCGATACACATATGGAACCACCGAACCAAAGAGTTGGCGATTGAAGACGGAAGCGTCGTGCAAAGACTAATCTCGGCTCACTGTGTTATTTGCCATCAGAGGAACCCCTATTGAGCATCCAACATAAAACCAATTGGAAGTAGGTGAAAATGGTCCACTTGAATACAAAAAACCACAACGAAATCATAATTTATTTGGGATGATACAATTTTGTTTCTAAGTAGGCAATGCTCAATAGCCAGCCATCCTCCTGTAAAACTACATCGAAATATTGTTTTTCATTTCTTAACTTCATGTGCAGTACTAGAAATTTCCTAGTTTTGTTCATGCAAGACAACAGAAAAGAACCCAGAATTGGGAAAACAGAGAAGAACTCATATAAAAGAGTGTTGAAAATTGCAAATGCAAGATACCCAGATTCTGGAAATTAAGAATTACACAAGAAATAAACAAATTAACCGCAATGGTGACCTAATGATTAACTAGGAAAAGAAAAAAGAAAAGAAAAGAGACTCGTCAATTACATCTTGTTTTCTCATTATCATCAAACTTATCTTGCTCCTAGGCATCGCTTTTCAATGAAAATCAAAATTAATTTCCATTACAAACCTTTCAAGTTCCACTAAAATTGGGTTTTGATAGAGTACTTACATTGCCAGAGTTGTTAAAGCGCTTCCCTCTTTTTTTCCTCCTTCCACAATACTAAAGAGAAACTTTTAGCGTCAAAATTTTCCCAGAAACTTAACGATAATATAAATAAACATGGCTAGCAGATTACCTATGTTGAACTATGAGAAAGTGATATAACGAAGGAGATTTGCATCCAGAAGACTATCTTTTTACAGTTGACCGCTAAATATGTTCATAGTTTAATGTGGTTATGAAGATCAAGTAACTCATATGAGAAATATTATATCGTCTAAAATCCTTACATGGAGAATTATTTTGGACTTTCTTTTATGGCTTAATACCAAAATAAGTGCCCAAACTATATTGCTTTTCTTAAATGAGTGCTTAAATTATTTTTTTGACTTATCTAGGTGTCTGACGTTACAAACGTTACCCATTTAGGTATTTGGGCCGTCAATGACTTTAATTTCTCTCGTTAAGTGATATGTATTATAATATGGTGGTTTTGAAATTTATTTTTTTAAATTAAAAATATTATTTTATTTATAAAGAAACACATACAACAACAACAATAACAAACCCATATATAATGGGATAAGGGGAGGTAGGGTAGTAGGTTGCCCCCAACGCCAGGTTGAGAGCAGCTTCGTGGAAGAGCTCCGGCAGTCAGAAGATTAAAAAATAAAGATAAAATACAATGCATGTATAAATAAATAAATACATAGTTGAACAATCTTAATATGCAGTCTTCATATGCGCGTCTGTAATGGGAAGTAATCCATGCAAATAAATAAAATAACCCGAAAATCCCTAAAATTCCAAAATCCTAACCTTAACTCATCATCATTGCCTTTTCCGGCCACAACAATTGTCGTCGACGTAGCCCCTGCAATCCTCCTAGTCATACATCGTCGTAGTTCTCGCTGATTGGCCGTCGGAATCGCGATTTTCAACCTAGGTTCGCAAATATAAAACGTAAATTCATCATTGATCAGTCACGATTTCATAGGGGTTTTGGTCGGCGGGGGAGAGGAGGTTGGCTGGAGCTTAGGGATGGGTATGGGACCTGAATCCGACATGTTCCAACTCAACCAGATCTGGTCGGGTTTTTTTTAAATCGAATTCGAGTCAGGTTGGGTTATATGAGAGAGAAGGTTGGGTTAAGGTCGGAGTCAGATTTAGACTTAAAAAAATCCGACCCGACCCTACCCGGTATAATTATAAAATAATACTTAAAATTACAAACCTTTATATGTTATTCAGGGCTGTGGTTCATCTCCTCATTTTCTCACTTCTGTCATTCCTTTCTTTCCTTCTCTTTCTTTGTTTTTCTTTTTTCTGCTGCTCCTCTATTTTTTCCTTCTTCTAGAATCATTCTTCTTCCATTTGTTTGCTTTTCATTTTATCCCTTTAAATTTTGTTTACATTTTCCCCATAATTAGTAACCATCGTCTCTTTCATCTTAGCTTTGTATTTTTTTTGAAGATTTTTGTAATAAGTAGTAATAATTTGTACGAAGATTCAAGTAGTGAACTAAATTTCTTCTATTTTTTGTCTTATTTTTGAGATTATTTTTAAAAATTCCATATTTGTTTCATAGTTTAGTGTAGTTTTTCAGTTTGTTTTATTTTTAAGTTTATTTTCATCTATGTTTGGTTGTTTGGTTAGTGAGAAAGTTGAAGAAATGATAAGAAACTAAGGGACCAGATGAGAAAAAAAAAGTGAAATATGAAATTAATTCGGGTCGGGTTGAATCGGATTTTTTGTTTAAATTTTTTGTCGGTGTCGGGTTGGTTGAAACCCTTCAAAAGTTCGGGTCGGGTGCAGGTGGAGAGCAATACTTTTCGGGTCGGAGTCGGATAGGTCAAAAATCCGACCCGACCCATGACCATCTCTAGTGGAGATTCGTCAACTGCAAAAGGCGACAGTCGGTGTAGGTTTAGCGGTTGAAATGAAAATTTTAAAGTTATGAGTTTGTTTCAAAATTTGTGTTTTTTTAAAAAGAATATATAATTTAATTTTTTAATTTTAAATAAAAAATTTAAATTTACCAAATTTTGACACGTATTAACGGGGTAATTAACACTGTTGACAACCAGTCACCTAAATGGGTAACGTGTGTAACGGTCACTTATTTTGGTATTAAGTCTTCTTTTATTTATGTTTTCTTAGAGTTGGATTTGATGATGCCACGACTGATTAAGATGTTGCTTTTTTGAAATCTTGTTGATCTTCCGCGCTATGGATCTTCAGATTAAATTTTGATGCATGATTTTACGTTTTGTGGATAGTTTACTCACGGCGTTCGGTCTGATTTGCAGTTTTTGGTAGTCTTTCAATAACTTAATTTTCTTTTGTTGTTCGTTATCAATGCAATCAAATTTGTTCGTATGTATTTATGTTCGAGTCTTTCTTTTCCATGTATGGTCCTTATATGAACTAAAGTGATTAGTTTTAATGTTATAGTAAAATGTCTAAATAACGTATTCATTTTACGATGATAGTTATAAACTTTTATTATAATTTTGAATATCTTCACTTTTAATTAATACTAGCGGCTTCTATTAAAAAAATTGCAATGGCTATTCATAATTCATCCCTTCTAATGTAAATTGTAATGTTATAGCTATTGGCCTTATCATGGACAATGTACTCCATGTAGGGAGGAGTAGAGAAAAATGTGTGGGAAAATGGTGGAGCCAAATCAAAATCGGGCAGATTTTTCTCGGAGTAGAGCATAAACCTAAAAAAAATGCATAAAAAATTGATGAAACCCATTCAGGAACAAGAAAATGACATCGTGATTTGGATTGAATCCCAATGAAAAAAAACAGATCAATAAAAAGTTTGTGCGATAAATTTAGCGAATTTTTTCTATGTTATAGGAAAACGGGCCAAAACTCATCTTTCTTTAATTTCATTTTGAATTTCATTTGATTTAAAAAATGTAAGAAAAAGCTCTTCATTAGAAATTAGAAGTTAGAAAAGGCTAGTTTCCTCTCCTAATCTTGTGAGAGGAGTTTTATAATAATCTTTAAAAGATTAGTAATCTTATGGTGGATCAACGCCCAACGCTTAGGATGAACGGTAAAATTGGCCTAATATCGTAGGCGAGCTAATTATTTAGCCTAATATGACACCAAATTTTTTATTTTAAAAATTAAGATATTTGTTAAAACTCGTCACGTCGATATGATAAGTTGAATAAAATATAATTTTATTTAAACTTGTCACTCTAACATCACAAAATCTAAAAAAAATATTTTACTGAAACTCATCACATTAAATAAAAAATATTATTTATGGATGGCCTAATGAGCTAATTTTTTTACCCGAATGGCCCAATGGGCCAAAAAAACCTAGATGAACATCTCAATAGTTTTCTGGATCAATCACAACATTTCTTGTCAGGCCAATTCGAGAAAAGAACTCATCAATCCATTTACATCCCTTTGGGACTTGCACTCACGATTCTTACACAAGAGAGTCCATGTCTTGTCTTTTTTTTTTTTTTTAGCAGCTCATAATCTATTTGACAAACCTGAAATACCAAGTAACCGAACACAAGATTTAGATCTAACTAAAATCTTCTAAAACTGCAGCTTTCCCATGTAAATTAGTGTGCCAATCTAAGCAAGCAAACAACTTTCTTTATTATGGCAATATATTCCTTTAACCTTAAGGTAACCCTAATCCCATCATGTTAAAGCTTGCTTATATCAGAATCATATTTTGTTCTCTTTTTTAACAGTTTCTTGCTGCACCAGATTGATGGCGCTGAATCCTAAATATTACTTTCTTTTGACGGTAATGAAGGAATTATGGGCACCCTGATCTAAGACCCAAGGTACCTTGCCAAGCAAGGAATAAAAATTCGTTTAAGAGGCTAAAGCAGTACGAAATAAGCTTAAATTGTTACATTTCCCATGCAAAAGATGCTTCGAATATGGTCAACTAGAGATAGGTTACAAGTTACTCGATCTAAGCAGTGAAATATTAGGGGTCTAAAGGCAAAAGTTTGCTTACAAGTTAAGGCTGAAAGTTAGATATTAACCTACAGTCTTAATGCTGTTAGACCCTTTGTTAAGGAACTTGTACCTTTATATGGGATTTCTTTTTGGCTGGTATTTAATTTGTATAATAATTTAAAACCCAAATCACTATTAGTTTGGTATATATTTTAGAGTAAATTCTGCACTTCCTTTACTTATTTATTTTCAGATTGTCATCATGTTGTCTAATGAATATGTAGAGCACAAGATATGTGATTATGGGACTTAATTTAGTTGCTTCACCCCATCATCTTGAAGAAGTTATATACATAAAAAGGCGTGTAAAAATTTATAAAATATGATTATTAATAATAATATTCTTAATTTAATTATAAATGATGTATTCATAAATTTTGATCAACATGTTTATTTATAAATTGATTTAGAATCCATACATGATTTGTTTAAAAAGAGTTTTAAATTTTTAAAATGGTGTATTAAAAGAAATGTTCTATGATTTTATTCACTAGTTCAACATTTATGCTCAACCCATTTGAGACTTTTTTTAATTATATGTTCAAATATTATTTTAAATAATATATTTAATTGATCTCAACTTGACTAATTATTAATTGAATTTAACATTAGATACATATAAATTGATTGAGTTTAACTCAGTTATCACGTCGTTGATACAATATAAAAGAGGATGTAAGATTAGGGATGAAAATGAGTTGGGTTGCATCAAGTTTTTTCTAATTAGACCCAATCAGAGAAGTATATCTTCTATACCCGAACTCGATCTGACTTGAGAAACATATATCTTCCACCCGAACTCGACTCGAGAGGTATATCCCCTTCACGTAAACTCAATCTCACCCAAATTTTAGGGTAAAATCCTATATTCGATCTGACCAAAATATAAAAAATAATCAATTTTATTTAGTAAAACAAGGACCTAATTTAAAAAAAAACTACATAGAGGTAGGTATTATAGCAATGTTTCTTAAATTTATAGAAGAAAATTACTCAAGTATCCCAAGTCGGGTAAAGATTTTTCACCCAAAATATAAACTCAACCTAACTTAAATCAATTTTATTATGTCAAATAAGGTTGAAACCTTTCGGATCTGAGTTAAATCATCATCCCTATATAAAATTAAAAATATTTAAACGTTTGGTATCCTCCAATCTATGGGTGGAAAGAAATATGTGTAATATTGGCATGGATTTGAGATTTAGGTTATGAGTAATTTATGAAGAGTCTAAAAATATAATTTAAGAGAATATTTAGAAGTAAAGAGTGGCACGAGATAAAGGGTTGAGCCAACGTGCAAGCCATGTGAAAGTGGGATGGGTCCACGGCCCACTCTCCTCAATAGAATATAATGTCAAAAGGCCATTAAAATATGTCCAAATGCAGTCTTTGACATCAAAGCCATTTTCTCTCATTAAAAAAATTAGTTAACCCTATTCCCATACGTAATGGAGTAAGGGAAGGTAGGATAGTAGACTGCCCTAACACTAAGTTGAGAGCAACTTCCGGTAGAAGACCTCCGACAATCAGAATTTTGATTTCTATATTAAAATAACTAAAAAAAACACTACACACCCATACCCTTTGGTTTCTTTATTACAAGTGACTTTGGGAACATGATAATTGTAATAATTGGCATTGCCCACACAAAAAAAGGTATAAACACAAGCTATTTATCTGATTTAATTAGGCCTATGCTTTGATTGCAAAGGAATCTCACAAATTCAACACACTATTTTTTAATATACTAATTTAAAAGAGTGGGAGAGAGAGAAAATAGAAAAAAAGGGGCAAAATTCAGCACACATCACGAGTAGGGGAAACATTGATATCTTCCCCCATGTATATGACACAAGATATGGAGGGGAAACAAGGAACTCATTATATATATTTTTGGTTTTTGTTTGTTGATTTTATGTTTCGGGTCAGTGGTGGTGTGTGGCGGCGGCTCCTCCGGCTGGTGTTGGAGGCTTGCACTGATAGCACTTGGCGAACAAGCCGAAAGTGTCGATCTGGTTAATGAAGTTGGTCATGCTAGCCCATCCTCCGAACCCGAATCCGACCACCAAAACCCATACCACGATTAAGGCATTGATTGCATACATTGCCGTCCAGCTTGGCATGAAGGGCGGAGGCTTTTCTGCTGCATTCTACTCATTACAGGACAAAAGCACAAAGGTTAATTAAACTTCGAGATAAACTCGAACATGAAATCTAATTTAAAAGAGTCAGATGGAGATGGAAGAAAAAGAGTCAAGTCAGCCAGCTCATGCACACAGGAAGACAATGTACAACAATGAAACTGTACTGTTGCAAATAACTAAATGAAAACGACAGCCCAACTATCCAATTCTTCTCCTAATGTTTCCAAATCTAGGCCTTAAATGCTTTTGTACATTTGTTGCTGACTTAAAATATGAACGGTAATTTTAGAAGATTTGAGTTAGAGTAATTATGTATGTAGGATGGGTGTGAACAAAACTACCTTTGATGGTTAACTGTTCAATAAAAAGATCCAACTTACGCCTAGAAAAGAAAGATAACTACAACTTGAACCCTACATAAAGCGATCACAGGCTGGTGTGGGACAACAAGATAATGGTCCTACCCGAGTGGAGCTTTTGTAAAGGAAGAGGATGAGTAATGGTGGGTTTTAATTTTTTACCTGTCGGGCGGAGGCTTTTCTGTAAGTGAGCATATGGGCTAAAGCCGGGATGATGTAGACGGTGAACGTAACCAAAAGTGCACCGACAGCGGAGTTTATGGGGCCGAAGAACGGGAATATTATGGCCAAGAACCAGATCGGAATCACCACCGGAAGCCTCGCCAGTGCCCTCAAGCATATGCTTTTCGTGTCGTGCATACCGATCATCTTCTCCCACACGAAGTACAACGGAGTGCAAGCGAACCCGAACGTTATGAACTGCAAACCATTTTCATGGAAAACCGCACTGTTAATCACACACATTATAGGGTAATTTACATGTTTTCACCATGGGTTTTAAAAAGGATGGACCTGGTGAATAAGCATCAAGATAACGGCGGCGTCACGGAAACGTGTCTTGGGAAGGAGAGAGAAGGCGTTGGAATGGTTGAGCAGCTGGTCTCCGAATGCCCAGTAGACGGCGGAAGCCGACGGAAGCGTTAGCGTAAAGACGTATAAGGTCGCCAATAAGTATATGTACTTGAACTTTTGAGGCTTCCACATTGCATGCATGATTTCCCTGGAAAAAATTGCAGATAACGTTGCTTAAGCTTTACTGTATGCAGGTAAAGACGAAGCAGACTGGACAGGACTGACCAAGGAATAAACAATTGGCAAACTAAACAGTTCAATTTTTCCCCAGAAAACAGAAGTGGTCTAATTTGTATGATTTTGTCCGGAGTACCGAACTCCGAGATTGCCGGCAAAAGCTGCAAAGGAAAGGGAAGAAGAAGAAAGCGAAGGCAAAAGCTTACACAGTCACAGCATGTCCACCAAAGGTATAGAGAATGTTGGTTGCACCAGTGAAGTAAAGCACTAACTTTGTTGGACCACTGTGTGTTACACCTTCAACCTGAGCACGAAATAATCATATGTATACGTTGTTGTTCGAAATCGTATAGTCTAGAAAGAATAATATTTTCTTTTACTATCGAGATTTTTAACTGGGTTTTTTATGTTATCTTACCTGGCCGTGAGCCCAGGCAGCTATGGCCAAGTACCAGGCAGTATAAGTGGTCATCCCAAGACCTAGAAAAGACCAAATACGGTAGTTGTGAAAGGAGGGAATGAAAACGGTGGTTGCGCAGCAAGCTCCAAAAATATAGGTCCAGGTCCTCTTGTCCAATTTGTCATTGATGTAATAAATATTACTGTTCATCACACAGGTGAAAACATCCACGGGTAAAAAAAAAACAAACGAAACCCAGCTTCAGAATCTGCTTGAACTTCATGGATATACGTATAATACCAACCTTGCACAAGCTATGAGTTGAATGACAGATCCGAATAAGAGGAAGGTACAGTTGAAGGCAAGTCCAGCTGCTTTCCAGTAAGGACCCAACAGCCCATCAAGCACTTCAAACCACTGCAAATCCAAGAAAAAAGTGATCATTTTCAGCTGATTTTCAGCTTTCAAGTTTTTTTTTTGTGTGGAAGACGAACCTGTATGACATGGTTCTTGAAGCTGACGTTCTCTTTTCTTTCCTGCTTCTGTACTCTATGTAGAGCACACTAATGAGATAAGCAGTCCAGCTTCCCAAGAGTCCATAGAATATCTGGAGGAGAATACCAGATAACATGCCGAGTTGGGAGAAAGAATACGGCAGTGTCAACAGCACTTGTGCTACCTATATGGAACAAGAGAAGAAAGTTTGTGAAACTCTTGAGGACTTGAACAGGAACAAGAAATGATTTGAGGATTAATTTTGGGTTTACTTGATTGGAGGCGCAGCTGAACCAGGCGTCCCAAGCTGAGCCACCGTGCCAGAGGAAGTTTTTAACGCTGAACAATGCTTGTTGGTCTTCATCTTGTTGTTCCTTTACTTCTCTTGTTTCAAGCTCCATCTCGGTTATGTTGCTCGACACTATTGCTTCTTCTGCTTGCTTCAGAGCCAACATTTTGTTTTCAATGGTAGATCTGAAACACATAAAAGACAGTAAATGAGAAAAAAAGAAAGAAGTATAATCAAACAACTAAAGCTCCATTTTGTCTCTCTGAACGAACCTTGTTTCTGAGTAGTCTCTTTCAAGTATTGATTGATCTATCACCTTTCTTCTCAAAAGGGTTTATGAAATCTCCATTCGCAGAGCCTTTTATAAAATTTCCAGAAATAATAGCCTCCCCAATCTTCTTCTCCTTTTGCTTCTGTCAATAAAAACCAAAACTTAAGCCACACTTTAATTCAGCCACCAATTTTCGCAGCCCAAAGACGGCGACTGACCTTAAAAGAAACACCCCGAATCCAATGGTGTGAACAAAAGACACCCTTTTTTTAAAGCTTCTATTCAAGTAGATATAGTTGCATTGAGATTAAAGGGATAGAGGGAAGAAGAAGAAGAAGAGTGAGAGCGACTAAACCCCAAATTCCCTGTGCAATCCACTTATGATTCGATTCTTGGTGGGTGAAGAATGAGAGAATTTAGAGATCAAAGCGAATTTGACGTTGTGATCATCACAAAGGGAAGAAGACTGAACTCCCCATTGGCTTTTATAAACATCCCGTTGTAATCTTCAACGGCTGAGATTTGAATTTTTTATTTTTTTTACTTTCTTCTTCTTTTTAACTGAGTCTGTCTGGCGAGTCTGGTTGCTTGCATTTATGAAACGGTGGCTTGCACCTTAAATTTCGTTATATCTATGCTTTCGTGTTTTTTTTAATCTAAAAAAAATGCCGATGTTGGTGTTGGAGCTGATCCAAATCTAGGTCAACTTTTAGGAGAAACTATTTGATCAATTCCGTTCACATGTTACCAATTTTTTTTTTCTTTTTAAAGTGAATATTTACCTCTTTCCACTGTGTAAAATAGAGTGGGTATTTATTTAAAAGTTACATAGAGATGGATAGATCTTATTAGTTGAGATTACGGATGACGTAGTGAGTCAGATCCATCTAATAATTTTTCAATTTTAAAGATGGACATGGGTCCGGTCAGATTTTCGGTCTACCGACCCGATCTGAAAAATATAAATCCTTCACTCGACCCGAACTCGACAAGATATTTTGAGACAAAATATGAACCAAACCTGAATCAAAATATTATATTTATTAAAATATATTTTTTTATTCAATGAAAATAGAGATTTAATTAAAATAAATAATATAGAGGTATTATTGTAATTATCTTTAAATATATAAGATAAAATTACAAATTTTTTGGATAATGTATTTTCACTCTAAACTCTGACCTGACCCGAACATAACCTATAAGATCAAAACAGTAATTACATAATTGTATTTTCCATAAAATAATAATTTATACGTAAAAATAACAAAAAATATAGTATAGCATTTCGGAGAGAATAACAAATACTAAAATGATGAAATTCTTAAATATGAAATATTAAATTTATTAAATTGTTTCGAATTAGGATCAAATTGATAGATTATAAATTTTGAAGATTAAAAGATTTAGTACACCATATTATATTATTATTTTTATCTAATAGTTAACCTCCAATGATTTATTTATAAATTTAAATTTATCACAAAGTAATAATTGAATGACTTAATGTGTATTTTAACCTATTTTGTTTTCTATGCTAGAGGTAAATTTTCAAAAATATTATGGGTGGACATAATGAGTTATATGTCCACTATAATAAATGATTTGAATTAGTTTCCTAACACTTGAATTTTTCAAAAAAATCATTTTCCTATATGATTATTTAGAAGTGTTCATTATTCAATTTTAACTGAATTAATTGATCGAATAAAAAATTTAATTCAGTTAATCGGTCGATTAATTTGATATTGATTAACAATTAAGAAAATTTTTAAAGTTCAATTATCAGTTAACTCAATTCGAAATTGATTAATTAATTGAATTAAATAAGTTAACTGAAATTAATATATATTTTATATATATTAAATATATATTTTAAGCTAATATCTTTTAAAAATTAAAATCCAATTATTTTTTAATCATAATATACCTATTAAACTTTCAGTATTCGATAAAACAATTTCGATTAATAAATGTTAGATAATTTGATTTATTCGATCAACCAAATGGACCGAGTAAATACCCAATAAATGTAATGGAATCATGTTTCCCACTCAATTTCATTAGCGCGTGAACTCAGTATCAATGATTGATTCAATAACTTGGCGAGTTTCATAGGGCTGTGTTCGCACGCTCGATAAGGGTGTGTGGCTCTAATACTTTAGCAAAGTTCCCCAATGTAAAGATACGATGAGAACTTTTACAATAATGCGCTGCCAAACCCAACCTACCGGTTACTCCATTGCTTTCTTTCCTGGATAAAGTACTTTTTAGTCCCTATATTTGATAATTGTTTCATCTTTGTCCTTATTTTATTTTACTAAATAATAAATACTTATTTTATTTTACTAAATAATAAATACTTATTTTATTTTTTAAATCATAAATTAAAAAAAAAAAGTTATGATAATAGTGTAGGATCCCATATATAAAAATAAACTTATGAAATAAATTTGGAAGAATCAATTTAGATATGGTACTTAAAATATTCTTTCTCAAATATATTGAACATCAATATTAAAATCAATTTTTAAATGTATTCCTTGTGTTTCTTATTCTTCTTTTATTTTCTTATGTTGTTTTTTTAGTTTTTAATAATTCTATCTTTATGTTACGTTTTGTATTTTTATGACATATTTTCTTTTATCTTTTAACATGTTTTTTTATCGTTTGACCATTTTTATTTTATTTTCATAGGATTAAATTTGACGATGCCTTAACTGAACAAAATAGTAATTATTTGTTATCATGTTAATCTTTTATGCTTTGGATCAATAGATAGAGTTTAGATACATGATTTGCGTTCGGAGATTATTTTTCTCACAAAGCTAGACTTTGATTTGCAATCACCATTGGTCTTTCAATAGTTTGATCCAATGTTTTGGTATCAATACAATTAGATATGTTCGTATATATCTTTTGTTCAAGTTTTTTGGATGAGTTTTTTTTATTTTTTTTACATTTTCCTAGTATGGTCCTAATATTACTCACAGAGAGAAATAGATATCGGCCAAGAATGGCTAAAGAAATAACAATCTGAGAAAAATATTGAAATATTATCTTAGATAACAAAAATGGCGCACGATAAAGAAATGCTTTGGGCGCAAGTTAGCGGGACTAATGTCACCCGAGTTCTCTGTTGATCGGACGTCGATTGTTTCTCTGGTTCTACCTTTCTTCTTCGCTGCTGTTTGGGTTTCCACTCTCCTTTTTATTACTTTACTACATTACTACAATACAAATGGACTGGAGGAAATTATTCAAGTTCTCCGATTCGCATGACCTAGAATATTTTCCCCCAAATGTTCGTGATGGAGCCCCGATTATTCTTCCCCCTCAGGAGATCCTTGATGCTGGAATTTCTGAATGGAGATTATCGCTGGTGGGTCAGTTCCTTGGAGTCACACCAAGCTTTTCATCTTTACAACGAATCGTTGACAGCTTATGGGGTAAAGCTATGGGGGCTCGCGAGTTCAGGTTAGTACTGCTGGAAATAATCTATTTATTTTCACGTTTTATAGTGAAACTTCTAGGGATTGGGTGCTCGACAATGGCCCATGGCACGTACAGAACAAAACTCTTTTACTTAGAAAATGGGAACCATGCTTGAAATCGCTTAGTTTTATTTAACAAAGATCCCGGTTTGGGTTCATCTGTTTAACGTCCCATTAGAACTCTTCTCTCGAGTTGGTCTCAGCTACATAGCTAGTGCCATTGACATACCTCTTTCAATGGACAACATAATTGCTTCAAAAACTAGGCTAGAGTTTGCCAAAGTTTGTATTGAAATAGGGGTAAATGATACTATTCCTAAGTATATTGAAGTTGCTCTTAAAGATGGAAAATAAACCTCAATCTATATTGAGGTTCCATGGTTACCTCTTCGTGCAAGAAGTGCAAAGTATTTGGGCACAATGATAAAGGTTGTCCCAACAAATCAAATGCTCAACATGCTATTTCCCAAGTCTGGAAAAAGAAGGAGACATTATCCCTAATTCGGCTGCTGCTATTGTGGGAGGAGTTGAAGTCCTACAGGAACCAGATCAGAATGACAGTACTGAAGCAAATGATTTCATCCAGCAGGAGAAGATAGTTGTTGATCCTTCTGATAAGCTTGAGCAAAACGATCATTCTGTTGACACAACCTTGTAAAGTTTCAACATGTAACTGAAGTGGTTCATGATCCATTAAATATAAATATAACTGCTGCTGCTAATGTCCAAACAAATATTCTGCCTACTGAAGATACTGTTTATGACATAATTTCTCAGACAGTAATCTCTAAAAGGGGAAGAGGAAGACCAAGTAAAGAAAATGCTAAGAGTTGTCTTTCAGATTCAAAAAACTGATTCGAAGTTCTAAACTCTGTTGAAGATCATAATCTAGACAATTTACCAAGGAAGCCTAGGGCAGCATCTTTGGGAGTTGCTGGTTTGGTAAAAGAACTTAAATCCAAAAAGAAAGACCAGTTTAACAAAGCTAAAAGTAGTCCTATTGAAAACCAAGGGTGTTCCTTGGGATCTTCTTCCAAATGATAATCAGTTTTTGGAACATTAGAGGACTTAACAGTCTCTAAAATAGAATAAAGTGGTTCTTAGAGCCATGAACAATAATGTGGATATACTTTGCCTATTGGAGGCAAGAGTGAAAATGGAAAAATCTCAGGCTATTTTCAGCACTAATTTCTCAAATTTGAATGTTTGTTATAACTTTGATCATGCCATTAATGGCAGAATATGGATGCTTTGGAAGAAGGGAATAGATTTATCCATTATTCAAGTTTCTGACCAATTTACTACTGCTAAAG